TATATATATATGAAATTGATGGTGTTGCTTAGTCACGAGCGAATCAATAAATTCGATTTTCCATAAATTGAATTCCTTTGAATCGTTTGGCTGGAGCACGATTGAAACGATTTTAAAACGCTATCATTAGAATGCAAAAGCATTCGTCGCGCTATGTTCAATCTCAACTCACTTGTTGCACTCATTCACTCACATATAAACACAATCGAGATTGAGTTTATCACGTTACACAGCGCCAATACATCATCATATCAATGTTCAAGCAGCAAGACGTTCACGAGTGCATCACCATCACCGTATTAAAAGTGAATCGAATCATCAAGCAAACGCCGACCAATATTATGCAAAACGATCGAGCCAGCAATCGTCTCATTTCGATGAGTGTATTTTATGAAGCGAAAAAGCGCGTAAAGGCATGCTGCCAACAATTAAAATTACGAAATATTTTATTTTAAAAACCGATTGCGAAAACTAAAGAGAGAATCAGCAAGTTCCAATAAGAAATTCCCCGAATAAGCAAATAACCAACCGATAGACTAATTTATCAATCTCTGAATGAATGAATGAAATTTGAGCGTACAAATATTCGAAATCCATTTATATATCACAGCGTGAATGGTGTCAATTAGGATTCGAGATGGATGCATGTAATGAAAACGTTAAGCGTCGTATACATTTATTTAAATAAGTGATATGAATGAACAAATATTCGAAACTCGTACAGACAGCATTCATAGATGAGTTTATAATCGAAAAAGTTTAACACTTGTTGAAAAACGACAATTTATAGTGACGTTTAATGAATAATGATTCAATGCAATAAAAAGCATAATCCATCAGTTACCCAAATGACTGCGAGTAATAAATGATGATCCAATTCAGACTAAATAATCTGAACTGAAGAAAACGTTGATTAATAGAATGATAGAGTGATTATAAGATAGGATTTGACTGATATGATGAATTAAAAAATCAATGAAACCATGATGATAAACATGCATGTGTAAACGGAGAAAACTTATTGCCGATGATAAGATATGATTATCTCACAGTTGATATTTTATTAAAGCGGATAGTGCCTAAAGCCTGGGCATAAACCCTGAATGATCCTCAGTCTTACGGCTCACGCTTCAATGTGAATCCAACGCAGACCTTATTCACAGAGTCAGGCGTGAATCCTAGCCAAAAGCAAATTCAAGCCGCAGTCTTGGGTTGGTGTATAAAGCAGCCTACGAAATCACCATTTATAATATACGTTTTAGATAATAAATGCACTTCACAAAACTGCACAACAAACCTACACTCACGTTCAAATGTAACAACAATTCCGAAATGACACAAGAAGATGGCACATTCATCATTTGGTCGTTCGTATTCATTTTTTATCCTCTTATTCTTGTGACGACGATCAGCTGACAGCACACAAGCGATGACAACAAATAAGTATCATCAAAGAGTGCACATAATAAATATTATTTCGTCTAACTTTTCATAATACCACGTTTCACAAACAAACAACAAAATTTAGTTTGTATAAATATATCACAATTATATCGACAAAAATAAAATGCTACTTTTTTTTAAAATATAATATGAAATAATATATTATGATAGGTGGTAAGAGTAATAGAATATGAATATAAAAGTGGTAATAACAGAAGAGATTATAAAACTCAGAGATTATGAGTTGAAAATATGCAAAATAAAATACAGACGTGAATAAAAGAAGAAATGATAAGCAGTCGTAGTCGACTCGACGTGCAACAGAATACAATTCGTACGGGTGTGGTGGCATGAGGATTGTGAATGAGGGGTGAATGCGACGGCAACCGTATTGTATCTTTGTGGCTGCTTATACACAATAATCAACACTTACAAACAATACAACATACTGTTATTGCTGCTGATCATTGTTTCACGATCACTACTCTCTTCTTTTTCCAGTGCAAAATTATCCGTTCAACTATCTGTTTGTCACTGTTACTAATCATTTCAATGACCACCACTATTATTTTATTACTATTAATATTACTTCTACTACTACTAATACTTTCAGCATTCAAGTTTGGCCTTAACAGTTTATGCATTATGTTCAGGAAATTTTTAGGAAGGTTCACAAATTATCATTTGGACTAAAGAGGAATGATCACGAACTTAATCCGATGTTTCGTGATAAAATATATATGACATTGTAGAGCTTCTTGAGCTGATCATAAATATGCAGGAAATTTTTGCGAAACACAAAAGGAGGCGAGATATGGTGGGAAAAAGGTTTTCAGTGTATTGAATTCACGTTCTGAGTTTCTTTCTGGTAATGGTAGCGTGGCCCAGCGGGTAGTGCACTAGCACCAAGTCTGGTTGCCTGATGGCTGGGTTCGGCGGTGCTGACGGGCTTTGTGGTGTAGACAATTGTGATCAGTTATCATTTGTAAAATTTTCTCATTATAAATTATTCTTTTGTTTCAGTCAATTTGTCGTGAATAGACATGGTCATTATGATCAGATATAAAAAGCAGAAAAAAATCCAAAATTAAAAAAAAAAACAAAAAATAAAACAAAAATAAAAAACATAATATAACCCCACAACCATAGAAAAAAGTTTTGGGGAGAGCTACAAAGTATCATGGTTGCTTGAATGTGCTATTGATGTATAAAAAAAAACCCCCCTCAGCACGACGAAACCAAGCACCAGGCAACCAGACTTGGCGCTAGGTCACTACCCGCTCGGCCACGCCACCGTCTCCATAACGAAATTCAAAACGTGACTTCAATACACTGAAAACCTTTTTCTCGCCATATTTCGCAAAAAATTTTTCCACATTCATGACCATCTCGACAGCTCTACAATAGCATGTATATCTCTCATTATGAAACGTCGGATTAATTTCGTGACCTTCCCTTGGAAGATAAGTTGCTAAAAGTTACTGCTATATGCCACTCATCGTCAATAAACTTATCTGGAATGGTCAAATTTTCAGCTGTACAGGATCGATCGGCTCAACAACACTAGTCTGCTACTAATACATTCAAAATCGATTCTAAACACAAATGCAACTTTGAAAAAAGATGAAAAGTTGCCATTTGTAGCCACAATACCTTATTGTTGGCGGAATGTTTTTCATGAATGCAATCAACAAACACAGTTCATTTTGATCAACTGAATTTTCAGTTGAAAACAGCTGTTTAATTCATTGCATGAATGATCGCCTGATGTTCTGATAATTTAACCTTATGAAATGAAGTATAGTTTAGGATCACTTTCTTCATTCATTGAATCAAAATGCTCTTTCATTTCGAATTTTGAAGGATAGTGAGTTCAGTGGATGTTTATTCCTAAAAACATTCTTTTCATATTTCATAATCATTCTTTTCGTTCGCCTTTTGACCCAATTCTTTGACGGAAACTTCAAGATTCGTTGACGAACAATTTCC